CATTAATGCCATACTTTGACTTGTTAAAAGTCATATTTGTTATAGTTAGATGATTCTATGTCAACACGTAGTTCTCGTGATCACGTGTGTGGGAGCCTCAATGGTGACTGGTCAAACTGGTTCCATGTGGGAAATAATAACCGACAGTAGCGATCAGCTGCTTCGCTTAGGGTTATAATTATTAAAAATATATTTAGTTAAAGCTGCATCTAAAATAACAAGAAATTGGAATATACTATTTACTATCCTATAAAGTTAAATCATTGGTTGTGTCTTGACCGAATCATCGGTAGATTTGAAGAAAACGTGTGTACTGCTGATTGCTGTTTCCAGCTCAGTTTACGAGAAAAAAAACAATGTAATCTTAATCCCTGCGTATAAAACAATGCCTAGCAGAACAAAAAATACAATTTAAATGGTAAATCAACATGTCTGGTGATGTTTTATCTCAAATGTCTCATTAAAAGTCATATTTGTTCGTTTCAAGGTGTCAATAACGGTTATCTGACCATGGTTGCTGTAAATCACAGTGAGTTGTGCGATCTACCAATAACTTTACAAAGGTTTTCACTGAAATTAATGTAAACAATACAGAATGAGATTTGGAATCTTTAAAATAGGTTACAAACATAAGTCCAGATATGCAATGATCAGTTTTTGTGACCAGACAGTGAAATAACATGAGTAATTTCTTGACCTGGTATTTCCGGTGTTACGTGCTCATGGTACAATGCCAAAAAACATGAAAACTCATCATGAAATAATGCACTAGCCCCCCTTTACACAGCTGTTTCACACACTATACCCAAGCTTGAAATCAGAACATAATTGTTGGGAAATATGTCTGTAAATGAGTGTTAGACCTTGATGTATGCTGTGATGCGTATCTGAAACATTTTCTAAATTATCCCCCATCGTATCGTGCATATTTTGCATATCACGTGACCAGACTTTTCTCTCTTTTATAAACAAATGCTCTACATATTGTTTTGCATAATTATATAAATATGCTACTAAAACTACGACAGTGAGGTGCACGACAATACATATTTACACATCAAAGTGACTGTGTCATTGAAGCTATGTGATGTAAACAAATGGAAACTACACAAATGGAAATAGTTTATCACATTTTGAGATATTTTCTCATTAAAAGAAAACTGTGACATTTGTTTGTATGAGTATGTATGTGGTAAAGCAGGTCCAATGGAACGGGGTCAACTGAAGTTATAAGTATCGGAAGGACACAGGATTTCGCCGAAATCTATGTAAACATTATTGAATGAAATTTTGAATAAAACTGATTACAAATGTAAGTCCAGATATACAATGAACACTAAAAAAATGCAACAAAATGGTCAACTTGCATAATTTAATATGGATCATGACAGTCATATATATACTCGCAGCCGATACAAAAGGGTGTGTATTATACAAAGTGTGTATTTTACACGAATAAATAAGTTTTGTGCATATTGATCAATTGGAAGGGTTGCTTATTGGGATTGTTCACTTGACAATGTATCAGAAAATATCACTGTGGGCGCTTATTACGTCAAATACGGAAAATGTGGGCGGCAAATGTTATGTTTATTACTGCTGACACAACGGACATCTTGGCTCCGGAATATTTTGAAAATGGGAGATAGGATCACTCCCGGGGGGGGGGAATAGCCAACTCCCAAACATTTGATGAAAGAATCAGACAGGCCCCCATCACACCAGCGATTATTAATTGTATCAGAGACAATGACTGTAGCCAATCAATATCTGGTTTAAATTATAGGCAATGTGTTTTGGAAAATATTTCACTTAATCATACTGGCAGAATTTGGCTAAACATATAGTTATAATTCCACCAACATCCATCTTTGTTTTCAACTTCAGGGTAAAGGAATTTAATTAAAGTTAGAAACATCAAACACCTGGAACAATCATTACAAAAAGGACTCTCAGTGCTTACACAAACACAGGAACAGTAAGGCATGAATAGGTAGGTTGCACTGTAAGATAAGCACAGGCATGGACAGGTAGGTTGCACTGTAAGATAAGCACAGGCATGGACAGGTAGGTTGCACTGTAAGATAAGCACAGGCATGGACAGGTAGGTTGCACTGTAAGATAAGCACAGGCATGGACAGGTAGGTTGCACTGTAAGATAAGCACAGGCATGGATAGGTAGGTTGCACTGTAAGATAAGCACAGGCATGGACAGGTAGGTTGCACTGTAAGATAAGCACAGGCATGGACAGGTAGGTTGCAGTGTAAGATAAGCACAGGCATGGACAGGTAGGTTGCACTGTAAGATAAGCACAGGAATGGGCAGGTAGGTTGCACTGTAAGATAAGCACAGGCATGGATAGGTAGGTTGCACTGTAAGATAAGCACAGGCATGGACAGGTAGGTTGCACTGTAAGATAAGCACAGGCATGGATAGGTAGGTTGCACTGTAAGATAAGCACAGGCATGGACAGGTAGGTTGCACTGTAAGATAAGCACAGGCATGGACAGGTAGGTTGCAGTGTAAGATAAGCACAGGCATGGACAGGTAGGTTGCAGTGTAAGATAAGCACAGGCATGGACAGGTAGGTTGCACTGTAAGATAAGCACAGGCATGGACAGGTAGGTTGCACTGTAAGATAAGCACAGGAATGGGCAGGTAGGTTGCACTGTAAGATAAGCACAGGCATGGACAGGTAGGTTGCACTGTAAGATAAGCACAGGCATGGATAGGTAGGTTGCACTGTAAGATAAGCACAGGCATGGACAGGTAGGTTGCACTGTAAGATAAGCACAGGCATGGATAGGTAAGTTGCACTGGCCACCGAATCTATTCTCTTCTACGGGTATAGGAGGGTGTCACCAGCTACTCAAGCTACTAAACTAGCACTGCAAGAAAAGCGAAGGTTTGTATTGGAGGGTTACACTGGCTACTGAAGCTACTAACCCCTAGCACTGTAAGATGAATGAAGGCTTGAATCGGAGGGTAGCACTGGCTACTGAAGCTACTAACCTAGCACTGCAAGAAGAGCAAAGGCCTGTATTTGAGGGTTACACTGGCTACTGAAGCTACTAACCTAGCACTGTAAGATGAGCCAAGGCTTGTATTGGAGGGCTACACTGGCTACTGAAGCTACTAACCTAGCACTGTCAGAAGAGCCAAGGCCTGTATTGGAGGGTTACACTGGCTACTGAAGCTACTAACCTAGCCCTGTAAGATGAGCCAAGGCCTGTATTGGAGGGTTACACTGGCTACAGAAGCTACTAACCTAGCACTGTAAGATGAGCGAAGGTCTGTATTGGAGGGTTACACTGGCTACTGAAGCTACTAACCTAGCACTGTAAGATGAGCGAAGGCCTGTACTGGAGGGTTACACTGGCTACTGAAGCTACTAACCTAGCACTGTAAGATGAGCCAAGGCTTGTATTGGAGGGCTACACTGGCTACAGAAGCTACTAACCTAGCACTGTAAGATGAGCGAAGGTCTGTATTGGAGGGCTAAACTGGCTACTGAAGCTACTAACCTAGCCCTGTAAGATGAGCGAAGGCTTGTATTGGAGGGCTACACTGGCTACTGAAACTACTAACCTAGCACTGTAAGATGAGCCAAGGCCTGTATTGGAGGGTTACACTGGCTACTGAAGCTACTAACCTAGCCCTGTAAGATGAGCCAAGGCCTGTATTGGAGGGTTACACTGGCTACTGAAGCTACTAACCTAGCCCTGTAAGATGAGCGAAGGTCTGTATTGGAGGGCTACACTGGCTACTGAAGCTACTAACCTAGCACTGTCAGAAGAGCCAAGGCCTGTATTGGAGGGTTCCACTGGCTACTGAAGCTACTAACCTAGCACTGTAAGATGAGCCAAGGCTTGTATTGGAGGGCTACACTGGCTACTGAAGCTACTAACCTAGCACTGTCAGAAGAGCCAAGGCCTGTATTGGAGGGTTACACTGGCTACAGAAGCTACTAACCTAGCCCTGTAAGATGAGCCAAGGCTTGTATTGGTGGGCTACACTGGCTACTGAAGCTACTAACCTAGCACTGTCAGAAGAGCCAAGGCCTGTATTGGAGGGTTACACTGGCTACTGAAGCTACTAACCTAGCACTGTAAGATGAGCGAAGGTCTGTATTGGAGGGTTACACTGGGTAACTGAAGCTACTAACCTAGCCCTGTAAGATGAGCGAAGGCCTGTATTGGAGGGTTACACTGGCTACTGAAGCTACTAACCTAGCACTGTAAGATGAGCCAAGGCCTGTATTGGAGGGTTACACTGGCTACTGAAGCTACTAACCTAGCACTGTAAGATGAGCCAAGGCCTGTATTGGAGGGTTACACTGGCTACTGAAGCTACTAACCTAGCACTGTAAGATGAGTGAAGGTCTGTATTGGAGGGTTACACTGGCTACTGAAGCTACTAACCTAGCACTGTCAGATGAGTGAAGGTCTGTATTGGAGGGTTACACTGGCTACTGAAGCTACTAACCTAGCACTGTAAGATGAGCGAAGGTCTGTACTGGAGGGTTACACTGGCTACTGAAGCTACCAACCTAGCACTGTAAGATGAGCGAAGGCCTGTATTGGAGGGTTCCACTGGCTACTGAAGCTACTAACCTAGCACTGTAAGATGAGTGAAGGTCTGTATTGGAGGGTTACACTGGCTACTGAAGCTACTAACCTAGCACTGTAAGATGAGCCAAGGCCTGTATTGGAGGGTTCCACTGGCTACTGAAGCTACTAACCTAGCACTGTCAGATGAGTGAAGGCCTGTATTGGAGGGTTACACTGGCTACTGAAGCTACTAACCTAGCACTGTAAGATGAGCGAAGGTCTGTATTGAAGGGTTACACTGGCTACTGAAGCTACTAACCTAGCACTGTAAGATGAGCGAAGGCTTGTATTGGAGGGTTACACTGGGTAACTGAAGCTACTAACCTAGCACTGTAAGATGAGCGAAGGCTTGTATTGGAGGGTTACACTGGGTAACTGAAGCTACTAACCTAGCACTGTAAGATGAGCGAAGGCTTGTATTGGAGGGTTGTTCTGAGCAGGCAGCACCTGACATCGATACTCGGCATCATCATCCAGCTGGGTGTTGACTATCATCAGGTTAAACTCCTCTGGGGGATTACCCACCACTGAGTAGCGGGAAAATCCGGGAATGCTACGATCAAAACCTGCAAAACAAATGACATTTTGTAAATAATTTTACTTGATATTTTTGCAGGATAATTTGATTGGATTTGTACTCATTTTTATTTTAAGCACTTCCCATTCAATGATGTTCTGAATTGCCTGTTGCCAATGGTTCATATGTATTAGATAGCATTGGTTCAAACATTCCAAAATGCAAGCAAAATACCAAACCTGCCACAGCCATTATACTGAGAATCTCCTACTGTCTGTCAATCTGTCTCCACAGTCAAAATAGAACACTTAACATGACCTCCCAACATCTGGAAGTTGAAGGAGAAGTAATCTGATTTATAAGTAATCCAGATCAGTTGTAAAGTTCATCTGGCCAAACAGCATCCCAACCTTCAGTTCCCCTACTCTCTCCTTTCACTAAACTCCATCACCTTGCTTAGCAGAATCCACCCCACCCCTCCATCTGCCACCCCACATCCCTGATGCCAGGGGTCATATTCCCCCCCATCCCTCCACTGACAGCTCTACCAAGAATCCACCTAGCCAGTGAGTGAGACTCACTCTGACCCCTGTCTAACATGTACAAGTGTTGGTTGACAGCCCTACTCACAACAAACACACCACCAACACTGGCACTCTGCCCATACAGTCCAACAGAGGCCAATACATTTCAATCCTCAAGCTTTCTTGATAAAAATAACTTTTTATTACAGCCATAAGCTAGCCCTAAACAAGAATTTTAATCTTCGCCAAGTTTAAAACATGTGTTAAATAATCAAGTTGGCTCGTACAACGAGTTAGTTCCTCAATAGAGTAAAGTATCAGCCTGAGAGGTGTAGGACACCCCAGTCTATGCTGCCTCCCCCTCCACAAGTGCTGCTTGACAGATTCCACTTACAACATTACAATCCCAACCTGCATCCAAGCAATAGTTCTGCAGCTAGTGAGGTAAATCACAGCCAACCTGACCTACAACTCAACAACTGGCACTGAAACCCAGATTTTCAAATGTGTGTTATAATGATCTACATTGACTTAAACTCATGAAACCAAATTGAATAAATTTTGGAAAATATCTTTATTTTACTTCAGCAAATGGATTTGTGCAATGTATTTTGATATTGTCTCATATCCATGTCAGCAAACTATTGCCTGAGTTTAGTTTTTGTTATACCTTTGTGTACAGAATTGCTTCATATCGACCAAATATTAAGTCCTGATAGTATCTTGCACATCCATTCATCCTGATGGCTGTCAGGGTATATATATCAAGGGGTCACTTCATAAGGCGACATTTTTATAATTATTTGGTTTACAGATGCGCCGCTCTTTTCAAGTCCAAATGAGGAAAAAAAATAGAAATACAAAGTACTCCTTTTTTTACCATCGATCTTCACTTTAAAAAATGCATAATAAGTTCAAACAAAAAATTATTTCATTTGCTCCGCGAGTGTAAAGCAAAGGGAAGTCACTCTGATCTTTCTTGCTGGGATCCTTCTCTAATACCATCAAAGCTTGCCAACGCAAAGTGCAGTGGTGACCAGTTTAACTCTTTCAACACTGTTAGCCGGTACACCGGCCAAGAAGCCACGAGTCACCACAGTCACGGCCAAGTCACGTCAAAATAGTTTATGATCTTATTAACCTACCTGTTGTATCATTCATTTATTAAATCTATCACATTTCACAATGTCTGAAATACGTATTCCATTTCATTTTCTAATTTTTTATCAATAGATAAAAATATGATTCACTATTCCCGAAATGTTATTGAAAACAAGTATTTGTCACAAAGTGACGAAATGTCCCCCGCCTGTATATACACCATAATACCAAATATGAAGACAATCCAGCGATTAGTTCTTGAGATATTGCGGCAACACCGTTTTCCAACTCCAAAAGCAGATTTGCCTGCTGTGACCTTGAAAATGGGGTCAAGGTCACCAAAACCAACTGGTGTCTGCGGTGTCTGTATATACACTATAGTTCCAAATATGAAAACAATCCAGCGATTAGTTCTTGAGATATCGCGGCAACACCGTTTTCCAACTCCAAAAGCAGATTTGCCTGCTGTGACCTTGAAAATGGGGTCAAGGTCACCAGTATCAACTGGTGTCTGTATATACACCATAGTTCCAAATATGAAAACAATCCAGCGATTAGTTCTTGAGATATCGCGGCAACACCGTTTTCCAACTCCAAAAGCAGATTTGCCTGCTGTGACCTTGAAAATGGGGTCAAGGTCACCAGAATCAACTGGTGTCTGCGGAGTCTGTATATACACCATAGTTCCAAATATGAAAACAATCCAGCGATTAGTTCTTGAGATATAGCGACAACACCGTTTTCCAACTCCAAAAGCAGATTTGCCTGCTGTGACCTTGAAAATGGGGTCCAGGTAACCAAAACCGACTGGTGTCTGCGGTGTCTGTATATACACCATAGTTCCAAATATGAAGACAATCCAGTGTTTAGTTGTTGAGATATCGCGGCAACAAACAGGTGGGACGTACGGAAGGGCGTATGGTCGTGAATACTATATCCCCCGCTCCGCGCTTTCGCGCGGCGGGGGACAATAAAATTCACAGACACTCACTTCAACAACGGATCCTCATCAAACATGTCAAATAGCAAAATAAAGATATTTCAAGCAAATCTTTTAATATATTATACAAAGTGGCCAAAGTAATAAAATCAACAAAAATACATCTAAAAGTTGCCTAACTGACATCTTAGTTATTATTTCCATCTTTTCGTGCAATCGCATGTAATGTAAGTCAAATGACATCTCGGCTTTCGTTGCCTCGATTTCTTGGCTTGGACACGATGTCTTTAGTGCCAAATATATGCCTAAGAACTCTTTGTCACAGCTCGTAACCTAGCACTATACATCAATGAAGTTCCATATTTTTAATATAGATCGCAATTTCATGCTTTAAACATTCAGAATAACATGATTTAACCCAAACCTTTCATCAAAATCTAAAAATTATCATACACAAGACGGTATCTTTGCTGTAATTTCATTGGCTGCCTTAGGTCACATGCATACATTTGACCAATCACGAACCTTTTAGCAGATTATGTTGGTGAAACAATATAAGGTTTTTTTAATGGATACTGATATGGCAGCCTTCGACATACATGCTATTCATACGAAGCTTCGAAAACTGAGGTATTTCCTCATGAGTGGACAGCCTCTATCATCGGGAAATGGGTGATGACAGATATTATTTGTAATTCTTTTTAATATAATGTTCTGATTACGTAGACAAATGAAAATACCAAAGAAATAGGTAAGTGGATTTTATGAAATCTTATAATTGCCATAAATCGTCAAATTTTCGCTTCATTGGTCCTTAATCTGGACGTAATGAATGTTAGGGCTTACATTATTTTTAACTTAAAACGAACTTAATTAAGTTGTAAATGAATTATTTAAACATTGCTTTCCTATTTATATAAGATAGGATTAATTAGACCTTTCAAATAGTGCATTGCCAAACATGTAGTTATAATTTCCTTGATAAATGTTGGCTTCATCAATCACACAAGAGTCTCTGGGAACTTGTGCCACAGCAGTAATCTTCTGGTTGGCTGGTGTTGAAAGAGTTAAATGTCGCCCATGCTGCCAAAATAGCGGCGTCTTTCATGCATTTCCACCCATGACATGAATTTTGCTATACTGCCATTTGTGCACAAGCTGAGTGCAAGGAATATAATAAATTAAAATTGTTCTTGAAAGATTGAGTTGTTTTACATTCGTTACTCCGGAATAAATTTTTTTTATACCAACCTAACTTTTTAGGACAAAATTGGCCTCTCACTTTTGAAATGAGTTTGAAATCAGTGAACCAAGAAATAAAAAAAGTGTGGCCTAACCAATCCTTATGTCTTATGTCACTGTTCTATAAAGCTAGGATTCATGTCATATGACTTTTCATGATTCATACAAATTTTCAAATCCAAATTTTAAAATTTAATAATAACAAGGGACATAACTCTGTAAAACAATAACTGAGAGGACCAATTTTCAAACTCAGCCTTGACAAGTATCTCGTAGAACCTCCTCTTTCATTCATGTTACTTCAGTAGTTTCTGAGAAAACTTGTCCCCATTTCACACAGTATGCAGTAAGTAGAAAAGCACGGAGCTAGGGACATAACTCATTAAAAATGAATTTACGACACCAATTTTCGAACACATTTGAGATCATGACCAGTAACGTCAGTGAATAAAATTTTATTTCTCTGACTTAAGTTTTAGAGAAAATTTGTCCTCTTTGAGCAGCCCACAGACGGATGGACGAACTCTGTTCCTATATCCCCTGCCCCACTTCAGGGCAGCGGATAAAGATAGAATTATCAATTCCAGTATCAGTTTTCAAAAATTGAAACGATACCACTGCCACTGATACTCATAATCCACAAAGCGAAAAAATGGCAACTACAGTATATCGCCGTCTATAAAGTGACGCCCTGTATAAGGCGACCCCCCTGTACAAGCCTTCAAAATCGATGCTAATTTATATACCCTGTCTATAAAGTGAATCAGAATCAAGCACGTCACAAGCGCATATACAATCCCTACATTTGCAATAAAAACGTGTTTGTCTTCTGCAGAAAAAAATTACATCGTATCCATTCAGCGAATTCAGGGAAACAAACAGATCATAACAATTAAATTTGGTCAAGACAAATTTAAAATCTGAGATAAAAAACACACCAGACATGATGATTTATCGATGCAATTGTATTTCCTGTTCTGAAAGGCATTGTTTTACATGCAGAGATTAAGATTACCATCTGCAGTTTGTCCTGAACTATGCTGGGAGAAGCAATCAGCTGTACACACATTTTTCAGAATCTACTGGTTATTTGGTTGATAATTACCCACTACTATAACTTTAAAGAATTTTGATACAATGATCAGAAGAACTGTATCTGAAAATATTATTTTATCAGGAATATTTTTTTCAATATTATTTTCCCGGATATTTTGTCGTATGGAACAATTTGACCAATCACCG